ATATATATGTATATATATATATATATATATATATATATATATATAAAGGCGTTTTAAACCCTTCGCACACTCTTGCAATATTCTAAACAATGTTTCTAAACTCTAAATGCTCTAGAAGAGCACAGAATGTCATGGTTTCAGCTCTCTGCCTCCGCTGCTCTTTGCCACCTGCAAGCACTCTTGGCCACGCCCACTTCTCCACTCTGCATGGAGAACAGCTGATCATCTGCAGCAGGAAGTTTATCCTGCAGTAGGAAGTTTATCCTGCAGTATGGGCTGCACAAAGGTGCAGGAGGTGCTAAATGATTTAAAATAGTTTATTTAAAATACAAATTCCATGCTGATCATGCGGCTCATCCATCAGTTGTGTGTTATGTCCAATCTTATTTTGAACAACCACAATAGAGCGAGTCTGCAATGAATGAACCACTAAGTAGCGAGGGACTACTGCACATGTGCGCATTCCCTTTCTGCCCTCTCATGGCTGTGTCCTGCACATACAGGCCAGGTCCTCAGCATCCCAGAGACCCAGAGGAATTCTGAAGCTAGCGAGGCGAATGGTACAGTATCTCAGCGTTCAGTCTGTCGACCGTGACTAACAGGGCCCCGACTTGAGTATGAGGGGCCCGTGTTCTGTCTGAGCTCAACCTCAGTTGTCTATTGCCTAACATGCAAAAAAAAAAAAAAACATTGCGTCTGTTCTCAACCTGCAGCTGAGGCTTTTAGCTATTTTGGACAGATGAGAGAAGGGAATTCTGCATCCAATCTAAAAAGTAACAGTGATGGACTGAAGCCAGGAAATACAGTACATAGATGTCTGCTGCCTGTTTTTGTACTCACTGTGCCATTTTCATCCAGGAAATGGCAGGAATGTGGAGCTCTTTTATTCTTTCTTCCTATTGTCATGTCAGTGTCTAAAAGATGGCTACTCACCACACACAGCCTTGTTCCTATTTAAAACCTGCCTGTTCAGCATAAAACAGCCCTGAAGCTCTTGTTCTTCTTGTCTCAGCCAGATTGTCCAGTCTGTTCCATGTCAGAGCGTCCACACTTTTACTAACAACTTTGCCTTTTGAGAGGGCGCTGTGATGCTTGTTCACGGAGTCACGGTTGGTGTCAGTTTAGTCTGTTCTACAAGAGAGAGGTCAAAGTTGTTGCAATCTGTAAGAAATGACAGATAACCTCCTTCTGAGCAGGTGATGGTTGTCTGAAGAGCCACATTTGCTTAATGATTCTGTGCACCTACTGAAGCCTGGGATGTATTTTATTACAGAAACACATTCAGCATGAGACCGTGTAACTCTTAGGAGAATAAAAAATGCAGTTCCTCTTTCCATAATTAATCTGAGCATAAAAAATTGTTCTTAAGTTGGTATGACCTTCAGATGTGAATGAAATTAAAAGAAAAACAGACATGAAATGTCTCAGCACGATGATGAAACTCATGCTGCCAGAACACAATCAGGTCACCTAAAGGGATATTTTGACCATTTTGAATTTGAGGGCATTGAAAAGTTTTTAAAAAATACATTATTTTACCTGCTCAGTTGATAAAAATTGAGTTTAAGTTCAAACTCAGCCAAGATCAAAGGGTTCGCAACCATCTTAAAACAGCTCCACCTTTAAAACGTCTTATGTAATCCGAGTTTATAGACATTTACACTGTTAAGACAAGACAAGACATGGTTAGAATAAAATGCCAAATTTGTTACAGCTAGCTTGTGCTGCAGGTATTTGCTCTTGAAAAGAACAATAAAATATTATGTAAATAAGCACGTGTGAAGAAATGAATGCAAATGTAAAGATCTATGATATAATGAACCACCATGTTATGTTTTTCCCCGTCACACAGTGAAAATGGGGGGATTGGAAATACCCTCTGTCCGTGCATGTTGTGAGTGGGCTAACTTGAAAATTAAGAGAAGTACCAACTTGGGTTGCCATGTCAAAATCCAAAATGGCCACCACTGGACACCCCAATCATTTGAGGGAACTATGCTTTCTAGTTTTTATAAACCGAATTCCAAAAAAGTTGGGACACTAAACAAATTGTGAATAAAGACTGAATGTAATGATGTGGAGGTGCCAACATCTAATATTTTATTCAGAATAGAACACAAATCACAGATCAAAAGTTTAAACTGAGAGAATGTATCATTTTAAGGGAAAAATCTGTTGTTTCCAAATTTCATGGCGTCAACAAATCCCAAAAAAGTTGGGACAAGTCCATTTTTACCACTGTGTGGCATCCCTCCTTCTTCTTACAACACTCAACAGACGTCTGGGGACAGAGGAGACCAGTTTTTCAAGTTTAGAAATAGGAATGCTCTCCCATTCATGTCTAATACAGGCCTCTAACTGTTCAATCGTCTTGGGCCTTCTTTGTCGCACCTTCCTCTTTATGATGCACCAAATGTTCTCTATAAGTGAAAGATCTGGACTGCAGGCTGGCCATTTCAGTACCCAGATCCTTCTCCTACGTAGCCATGATGTTGTGATTGCTGCAGAATGTGGTCTGGCATTATCGTGTTGAAAAATGCAGGGTCTTCCCTGAAAGAGATGACGTCTAGATGGGAGCATATGTTGTTCTAGAACCTGAACATAGTTCTCTGCATTAATGGTGCCTTTCCAGACATGCAAGCTGCCCATGCCACAAGCGCTCATGCAACCCCATACCATCAGTGATGCAGGCTTCTGAACGGAGCGTTGATAACAACTTGGGCTATCCTTGTCCTCTCTAGTCCGGATGACATGGTGTCCCAGTGTTCCATAAAGAACTTCAAATCGTGACTCATCTGACCACAGAACAGTCTTCCATTTTGCCACACTCCATTTTAAATGACCCCTGGCCCAGTGCAAACGTCTGAGCTTGTGGAGCTTGCTTAGAAATGGCTTCCTCTTTGCACTATAGAGTTTCAGCTGGCAACGGCGGATGGCATGGTGGATTGTGTTCACTGACAATGCTTTCTGGAAGTATTCCTGAGCCCATTCTGTTATTTCCTTGACAGTGGCATTCCTGTTTGAGGTGCAGTGACGTTTAAGGGCCCGGAGATCCCGAGCATCCAGTAGAGTTTTATGGCCTTGACCCTTATGCACAGCGATTGTTCCAGATTCTCTGAATCTTTTGATGATGTTATGCACGGTTGATGATGATAACTTAAAAGTCTTTGCTATTTTACGCTGGGTAACACCATTCTGGTATTGCTGCACTATCTTTCTGTGCAACAATGGTGGAATTGGTGATCCTCTTACCATCTTGGCTTCTGAGAGACACTGACACTCTGAGAAGCTCTTTTTATACCCAGTCATGTTGTCAATTGACCTAATTAGTGTTAATTGGTGTTCCAGCTGTTCATTATATGCTCAATTTCCTTTTTCCAGCCACTTATTGCTACTTGTCCCAACTTTTTTGGGATTTGTTGACACTGTGAAATTTTGAATCAACATATTTTTTCTTTAAAATGTTACATTTACTCAGATTAAACTTTTGATCTGTCATCTATGTAATATTACGAATAAAATATTGACATTTGCCTTCTCCACATCATTGCATTCACTTTTTATTCACAATCTGTTTAGTGTCCCAACTTTTTTGGAATCCGGGTTGTATATTGCTTAAAAGTATATTTTCTTAAAATGCATGGTTCAAAAATAAGCATTGTGCCGACTTTCATTTTGGTGTGTGGCTGCATCTTAAGAAAGGTCACTTGAAAAGTCGGTCGCCACGTCAAAATTCAATATGGCCACCACCATATATATATTTGAACTGATCGCCTCTATTATTTGAGGACACTATGCTTTCTAGTTTTATGGTATATTATTATTTGTAGATACTTATAATGCAATGATAAAGTGCAATATTAAATGGGAGGCATCGGCGTATTTCTTGGTTTTTTATGTTGAAATCAATTCAAGATGGTTTTGACTGTGTTTAGATGACTTTAGCTCCTCAGTCTCGTCTTCTCTGATTTGGAGACACTTAAAGATAACTACAACAGGTAAAATATTAAATTTTCAGAACCTTTTTTAAAGTTTCTCCTACTTCAGACTGGCCAGAATATCCCTTCAAAGCTTTGAATGTTTGAGCATGATGTTAACATCTTTATCTGAATGAGGACTAATATGTTTTTTCACGTCCTTAAAACTTAAATGGTCTCATTTTAGATTTCAGGCATCATAATGTTACAGGGATCTTCCAACTTTTTACCACTAGAGGGCACTATAATAATAACTGTATCATTAACCTTATGCAGAACCTTTTGCAATGTTTTGTAGATTCACCCTATCAGTATGCAGCTTCTTTCCACAATGATGGCTACATGGCCCTTCCTAAGTCAGTTTTCCCAAGAAGGTAACATCTGCATGCCTTTTCCTTTTTTCCCCTCATGGTTTTGAGTTCTTTTCATGATTTACTAAAAGTGAGGATGTTTTTCGTCTTAGTGCTCCTGACTCACCAGAAACCATAGAAATGGAAATCAAAACCAAGTCCTTGGAGGGCCTGGTCCTGTGGCAGGGAGTGGTAAGTGTTGGCCCCCTGGTCCTGAACTCAGGTCTCAGCCGTCTGAAACTCAAATCCTTCCCCCTCACTTGTTTGATTTCCTCCCTAACTTTGCCTCCACACCCCCACTCTGACTCAGAATCATCGCCTGATCTGTAAGAATGTGACACTTTGTAACACTGAACGTGTTTTCTGTGTATCATCAGTGCTTTATGTAACCAGTTCATGTTTTGCAGTAGTATCCATCGTGCTGCTGTGGCAGTCATAATTGTGCTGCTGAGGCTGTAACTCTGCTGGGCATGCTCAGTCTCACACCACTTAACACATGCATGTGCTGCTCTTAACTCCCCCTCCATTTTCTTCAGGAGACCAGTGGCGCACGAAATTTACGAAAGATGCATGATAGTAAAAAGGTATCCACTCCAACACAAGACACTTTTGAGTTCTTTGCTAAAATGATGAAAAACTTCAGAGTTCAAGTAGAAATCCACCGGATTTGAGACGAGTTAGTATTTGTTTTATTTACAACATGCATTATGTTTTGTTTGTCCATTGTTGTCTTGCATGTAAGGTATAGTGTCATGGTTAACATTGTATTGGAAGAAAACAAAGTCAGCCCTGCGTCATGTCATGTTTGCTCAGTACAGCTCCTGATGTGGAAAGTTACCGGAGCTGGTCAGTGGCCAGCAGTTTAGTCTGAACAACATGAAATTCTCCTGCTGACCTACCATGTTTGTTTTGAGGTACCCGGAGAACACGGCAAAGGCAAGGACTTCATCAGCCTCGGTCTACAGAGCGGACACCTAGTTTTCAGGTGAGTCTGTGCTGCAGCTCATCGTTTCTGTCAACATGAACTTGTCTATTTTTTTGTTGTAATCATGGTGATGTGTATATTTTTAGTTACCAGCTGGGCAGCGGAGAGGCTAAAATACGATCCCGAATGCCCATCAATGATGGGAGGTGGCATAAAGTCACAGCAGTCAGGTACGAGTCCAGAACCAGGAGGTTCTCTTATATTAACAACAGCTTGATCTATTCACTTTTTAGAGTACAGTAGTCCCTCGCTACTTTGCAGTTTGTTTATCATGGACTCGCTCTATGGCAGATTTTCAAGTAAGATGACACGCATGACACATGACACACAATTGACAGATAAATCGATGAGCATGATCGGCATGAAATTTGTATTTAAAAAAAATTAGTTAAAATTATTTTGCACCTTTGTGCAGCCCACACAGAAGGAGAAACTTCCTCCTGCAGTGTGTCAGATGTCCGCGCTGCAGCAGGGAAGTGGGCGTGGCCAAGAGCACTGGCAGAGAGCAGAAATCAGGACATTCTGTGCTCTTTTAGAGCATTTACAGTTTAGAAACTGTTTAGAAGTTACAGTTCCCGCAAGAATGTGGGAATGTTTATATATATATATATATATATATATATATATATATATATATACATATATAAAATGACAATAAAATGTACTTGAACTTAGACCACTGTATCCCTACTTGGCGGTCTTTCACTTATTGCGGGGGTGCGTGGTCCCAAACCCCAACGATAAACGAGGGACTAATGTAGTTCTTTTTTCCCCAAAGGTGAAGATTCAAATAATAGCAACTAATGATGGTTTATTTATTTTTTTATTAACAGTAGCCCTGTAAATCAAAGGCAGCCAAAATGAATTAAAGGGATATTTTGGCCATTTTGAAAGGTGGTTCTTTGGAAAAGTTATGAGAATTAATATCATACCTGTGGTAGATAGCTCTTTGAACTGACTCAGTTTGTAAATATAAAGTTTAAAGTCTGATAAGTTCTGCTGTGGAAGTGGATCTGCTTTGACACGTTCATCAGTATGAGTAGAAGCACTTCTAAAGTGTCTCACTGCCATTTTAAAGCAGCTCCAGTCTTCATCATTAGATCCCAGTTCATGCAACCACTACTGTTTAGACCTTACTGTTCTCATTCATTTTGAATAACACAGTTATTCTGACAGAAATGTGTCAGAGTCAGAGAGATTTATTTGTCATTCACATCTCATGTGGTACATATGGTGGAACGAGATTATGTACACAGGGTCCCAGTTACATCCAACAATAAAATGTAAAAGAAAAACAGCAATAAGATCTAAGATATGAACTAAGAAAAACATCAACTAAATATACACTAAGCACTAATAACATAAAAACATTACATCGAACAGCAGCACGAACATGCGTCTGTGTGAGCAGATGAGCACACATGAACACAGCAACATGAAATAGATCAGCAGCAACATGAAACAGATCAGCAGCAACATGATGTTATTTTTCACAGTGATTTTTCTGGTTAGAGATTCATGAGTCTAACAGCCTCAGGGTAGAAGTTGTTCCTCAGTCTAGTGGTTCTACACTTAATGCTCCTCAACCTCTTTCCTGAGAGGAGCGGGGAAAAATTGTGTGCTGGGTGAGTGGGATCCTTCATGATGCAGGTGGCCCTCTTCCTGCATCTAGAGGTGATTGTCCTTTCAGCATTGACTTGTAATTACACTGAGCAAGTTCGCCTCTACACAGAGGAGGGTTTGCAGGAGTGGAGCCTAAAGCAGGGGTGAAGGGCGCACAAAGACAAACTGCACCCATGTTTGATGCCTGTTGCCAAAAAGCAGAAAACACATCCAGAAAGTAGCCGCTCTTTCCAGCCGCAGCTTAAACTTTTCATGAATCTGTCAGATTCCCTGATACAACAAACAGTAAGCAGATATGTGTGTTCAAAATACCCTCAGAGTTCAGGGATGGTAAGATCTTTCAGGTGGAGCTTCTGTACATGGAATGTCTCCATTTTTATCTCAGTTTAATCAGGGAGCAGGTCAGCCTGTTAGTAATTTAAGGGAGAACTACACCAAGAATCATACATTTAAAACAAACTTAGGGCTGCAGAATGATTGGCTTACTGTGTGTCAGGATTTGTTGGACAGGAACGAACCCAGTAGTGCAGACAGGACTCAACTCGGCAGATTATAAAAATTAATATTTAATGGTGGATAACGAACAAAAATAAACAACTGACGTGGCAGCAAAACTTACGTGAACGGAAGGCTCAGAGGGAAACTCAGGGAGGACTCAGGAGAGCTCAGGGGAAATGCAGGAGAACACAGAGACCCAACGAATACGACCCGACGAGGAACAACACAGAACAGGAGGCTTATATACAAGGACAAGACAAGACGTGATTACAACAGCTGTGACGAGACAAAGGTGGCACCAATTAAACTGACGAGGAAACACTAGGGAAAC